CCCCCGCCGTCGAGGCCCGGCGGCCGCCGCGGCGCCCTGCAGCGCCGTATCTGCCGTGCTCGCCGCCCCGCCGGGCCCGGAGCCGCCGCCTCCTGCCGCAGTAGTCCTGCGGGTTCCTCGTCGCCGTACTGGCGCAGCGCGGAGGGCGGGCGGGCCCGGGCCCAGGCGCCTGTGCCAGCCGAGATGCAGCCAGCGGCGGAAGGCCGGAGCTACGGCCTGCGAGGCTTCCCGAGCGTGGGGCCGGAGGCCAGAGGCGGTGTCTCCGTGCCTTAATAGTCCGTCACGGATTTGAGTTTTCCCCTCCAGCCCTGTAAACGCCTGCATACGCCGCATCCTGTGGCGAGGAGGTCTATTGTTCAGTTCGATGGCGTTTGAGCAATAAGTCCCTCTTTCTTTTCTTACTTGACCTCTTCTAGCTTATTCCACTGTCCTCTAGTCTCATGCTGGATGAGACTTGAAAAAGCCGCTGTAGTAGATCTCCGTTCTGTGCTTGGTGGCCTTGTAGCTGTGGTGGCCTGAGGACAAAAGCAGGGCGTCTAAGCAGGGACATTTTTCCTGCAGTGGTCCTAGCTGCTCTGATTGAAAAGTAGACAAGTGTTTGTCTTTCTCTTTTCCCTAGGAGATAATGACTTCTTAATCTCTCTTCCTCTCTTTGACATCCTCTCTACTCCACAGGTACCAACTGTCTTTTCTCTTAGTTGTTTATCTGAACTTGGAGGAATTTTCCTCAAGTTGCATTTAGCTCTGCTGTGTACTGCCTCAGTTTCAAACCTGAAGTGTGTGTTGTGCCTGAAAACTTGTCCTCTAGAAATACCTTGGAAATATGTCTTCCGGGCATGTCCTTAAAGTATGTGGGAAGTATGTGGGTCACCAACAGATGTTCTGTCGTTATTCAAAAATATGATTAACAAATATGAGTAGAGCACTGCTGTGTTCTGATTCTATAGCATGTCTATAGTAACACTGCGTAGTCTGTTAACTTCTCATTTTCTTAAATAAAATAATAATTAAAAAAACAACAAAAAAACTACCCAAAGCCTGTTTCTGAATAGGGTCATTCTTTTTCTAACAAAAGAAGTCAATGCAAACTTTAACTGACCTAAGAATTCACATTTCCTAGGATAAAACTCCCAAACAATGACTCTGGGACTCCTTGGAAAGGAGGGGTTCCTGAAGCTTAATTCAGGCTATGTTAGCTTTATAGCATTTGTTTGAAAGTTGACAAGGTGGATGTGTGTAAATAGATGAAAAATACTGAATGTTATCCATGTCACAAAACGGTTGGAAGTTAATGAGCTAACATGAGTTTTTTGTTACTTGGTTTGGGGGAGGATGGAATACATAGAGGGAATTTCCCTTTTCATAAAGCAAAAAGGAAAGAAAACCCTCCACTTTGCTGCTGAGTTCCATGAGCTGCATAGATCACTCACTCTTAGAAAATCTCATTTCTTTTCCTCCCACTTCAAAATCATATGTGTGTATAGCTGTGGTTTTACCATTATCAATTTCAAGAGCTGCTTGGTTCTTGCTTCTTTTCAGCTTAACTATGGTTTCTGACACAGTTTTCTTTCAGCAAGAAAGGAAAATCTTATCCTAAAGATAATTTCATGTGGCTTTGAGATTTTATTTTGTATTCAGTTTGCAAAACCCTCATTCATGATATGAAATTAAAATACATATTTTGATACTTAATTTTTCTGTAAGCAGAATTTTGCAAATGGAGAAAATGTTTATTGTTTACTGTTAGCATTACAATATCCAACTTCAGTAGTTTACTAACTTGCTGGTAGACGTGACTGTGAAATGGAGCAAGGACACTGACTGCATAAGATTTTGCTCCTCTTCGGAGTGATTTTTATTTTATTTTAAATACAGCTGTATACTTCTGTTTGCCAGAGCTGTGTCAGTTCTTTTGCAGAGTCTTAGCTGTGCCTCTGCAAGTTACTCAGCTGGAAGAAGTTAGAACACTCATGTTGAATCACCTTCCACATGATCAAAGTTGAACTTGTTCTTGTTTGCTGGTTGGGTTTTTTCCCCGATGTATCTTGTGGTCAGTCATAACATGACAACTAATCAGCTGCTTCTCTCCTTCCTTTTTGCAGTGTTATCAACACAATGCTGGTGACATGTGCTGTTTGCTGCTACCTGTTGTAAGTATAAATAATGTCTTGCCTCTTAATCAAGGCACAGTTCTGATGTAATCAAAAGTTCCTTTTTTATATCCTCAGAACATTTAGGAAGAAGCTTTTTAAATGTGTTACAGAGATTTAGACAAGGTGTTCTTTGATAGCTCTTAGAATTCTTAGTTCTAAAGACCTTCAACATGCTGAAGAAAACGTTTTCCCATTGGAAGATATTGAATTAAACCTGAATTCCTCTTGTTGTCCTCTGACATGTTAACTGTTGAATAGTGCTCTGCGTTGACTTGATATTACTCCTTTCCAGTTCATTGGCTTATTCGCTCACAAGTATAATGGCAGTTTGTCAATTCTAGAATTTTTCTGATTCATGGTAGAGCAATGACTTTCTGCCTTTTTCATTCTTTATACCTTACATTTATTTTTAAGGTAATACTAATTTAAACCTACTGATGAGTTTTGCTTTACTTAGTTTGGTTGAATATATTCCTGAAATCTGGCAGGGCAGTGGGTGGAACAACTTACACATGGGGGTTTTTATATGTATGACAAATAATTTTTCTGACAGACTTGTGATGCTTTAATATATAAAGACTGTTTCTGTTTAGATGCACATGATATTTGGGGCTGCCTCTCTTCTGTAAGAGAATTGGTAAAAATAACAAAATAACTTGTTGAGGAATTCCTCATATCTGTTCTTTTGTCAAGAGGTAAGCCAGCTGTAGCTGGAGTCCACAAAAGAAATCATTTATCTTTTAAGACATTAGAGACTGATCTTAGTCAAAAAAGTGCTATGCAGAAATAACTTTGAAAGAATTTGTTACAGAGAGTAAATGGTAAAAGGCTGGTTAGATCTTTAGCATTAACTAGTAATAAAATCATTATTCAGAGTTCACTTGAACCTGAGTAGTATTTGTACTTTCCTGAAGTATTTAGGCATTATTTATGCTACTCTAAGGAGCTTAACATGAATATTTAGAGAAATGCATCTCTAATCTCAAGACTCATTCTGAAGTACTGGCAGCCAAAAGCCATATTATCAGTGTTGGCGTGTTCCAGGAAACGCCTGTTTGGTTCCATGTTGGGTTGGCCTGTGGTGCAGGCTTATGCAGGTTTGATTTAGTTTAATAATGCGATATTCAGGTTTTATACAGGTGAGGCCTTTTTTGGTTTTGTTTTAATTTTGAGTATTTGACATATGAAGTCTTAAGAAATAACTCTTCTGAATAATTGTAAAAGTACAGCAAACTTGGTTCTGTGACAGTTTTTTAAATTAAAGTTTTGCTGAGCAGATGTAGAAACTTGAGCTTTGTAGTGCTAGCAACTTGAATTTGGGATTGAAATTTGGGAATCTCAGTGCTATGAAGGCCTCCTTGCCTGCACATAAAGTATGTAGCAGCCCAGTCTCGTGGTAGGTCCCAGATGCTTGGCTAAAAAAGGGCAACTGGATGCTCATTTTCACTAGGTTACTGTGTTCAGGTTACAGTAATTTGTGCGTTTGGGGTTTGTTGGGTTTTTGGGGGGATGGGCAGCAGTGTTTTGTTTTTGTTTAAGTTTAAAGTTGTCACTTAAGTTCTTCCTACTCTGTATTTTAACAGAAATAATGTCCTACTCATCTAAAATCCTTGAAGTTTAGGGTTTGTTTTCTTTGTTGTTTGAAGAAGGACAGTTTCCTTTAAGTTGAGGCCATGTCGCATCTGCAGAAACCCCTGGATTATGATGTGGAATGTATTTGTTGTAGAATTTCTTAACTTTGAATGCTGTGAACTCTTCAAATGTACAGTGGTATTTCACTTGTAAGTTTAGTGATTTTTGTACTGAAACAGACCTGTTATAAATCTAGTGTCGTTAACATGATTTATAATCTGTTCTTGCATGTCCAATGAGGGGGTTCTTTTGTAATTTTGTGGGCTCTAACTTGTTTTCTGTATTCCGTTTGGCTTTCTCCAATTATACCTTGAAAAAAGAGAAGCAGCAAAACATTACTGTGTTTTAAACCATGACTAGTTATACCCAACCACATAAACTACATATATAGTCTCTGCTTGCCAGAATATGATAAAAAGCAGATTTTTCTCCTCATGTTCCAAGATAGAACTTGCCTCATCACACAGTCTTTCCCCACCACCCCCCATGAATTCTGTATAAAATCATAGAACAGCCCTGGTTGGAAAGGACCTTGAAAGATCATCTAGTCCATATGTAAGTTTGTTCTTCCCATATACTTTTTCTTTTTTTGGGGGAGGCATTCAAAAAATTTCAGACCTTGGTTTCGGTGACTAAAGAGACTAATTTTTCATCTCAGTCTTGAAGGAAGTGTGAAAGAATGGTTTCTGAGGATTCTTCATTGTATGTGTTAGGGTTAAAATAACTTGCATTGTCCCAGGTATGGTCTTCTGTATTTGCATGTCCTTAGTAGGTGGCTGGTGCTGTTATCTACTTCTTTGTGGAGTTGTTTAGAACTCTGCTAGACCTACTTTCTTTGAGGGACCTTTCCAGTTGAAAATAGGGAAAAACTACTTCCTGTCTTCATTAAACACCACTTGATGGACAAATTAATTTGCATCAAACTCTGTTTGTGCTAACTAAATTTGAAGTCGATCACATTTCAACTTAAAGCTGTTTCTTCTGTGTTTAGATTTAACAATAATAATTTTGAATAACCATATTGATCACATGGTGTTAATTTGGTTGTTCTATAGAAAACTTTTGCATGGGTAAGTGCATAATTTGTGTACAGATATGTACCCAGCAGCCTTTTGAAGGAGAATACATGAGCTTCAGGAACCTCGTAAAGTATAAGGCAAAGCATAAGGAGTTACTGCTGCAGAAATTATAGGTTACACCATGTTGTAAAGAACTGTCAAAGTCTAAATCTATTTTGCTATTTACAAAGCAGTTCCTGAAACAGTACCATGATACTGTACTAACAGAGGACAGGGTGCTTGAAAAATGGTATTATTTGCTACTGATTCTAAAAGGATTAAAATACGGTTGCCCAAATTGACATTTAAACAGAGATAGCAGGACCTTAATTTGTAATATGCAGCATAGACAGATGGCAGTTATGGTAGAAGGACCTTTTAAAAATCTTTCTGGTAGAACATAAGGGACTTCAATTTCCTTGTCTGAGCTGGGTAATTAACACTAACTGTTTTAAGTGGTATCTTGTAGAATTTAAGGACCTGTGGGTGGCTCGAATGCCATACCTGATTTTAGCAACCCTAGAACATTATGCATTGGGTACAGAGGCCTGCTTTGTTTAACTTTGAATGCCGTGTTTTGTTTTGCATTGTCATGATAGGTTATTGTATAAAGCAGCATCACTTAAGCAAAACGTGGTAAAAGCTTTTTTGTGACTTACCTTGAATGCAAGGGAGTCGTAGAGTTCAGTGCCTAACTACTACTTTAAATTATTGGGCCCTAGCAGAGTAGGGAGGAGGAATATACTATTGACCTGCAATGCCACTATGGCTCGGAGCTTGGGTATCCAGCATGGTCCCAACAAATAGCTTTTGAAAACTGCACAGTGCTTGCCTAAAGCATGGTTATACAGCTGGGACATGTCAATATTTTGAATGTGCTTCCAGCTCATTTAATTCACAGCCATGCTGGGTCTGAACTTAGGAAGCATAGAGAGGTGAGATATTTGTGCACGGAGTTCCTTCCTTCTGTACAGTGAGAAAGAGAATAACGTGCTTTAACAGGCTTTTAGTGTTCCTACCCTCCTCCCACTTCTGTTAGTTCAGGATGCTAAAGACAGATGGTACAGTGCTCTGGCATCCCTTCTATCTGTCTTTTGTATCTGAAAATTAACCCTTGCAAAATAAATTCTGTGCTATTTTTAAGAGCTAATTTGCTTTTCCCTTAAGTAAATTTAACATAATGATTAACATGATTTCAAAATACATTATCATCACTTTGGATAGCAAAGTAGAAACATGTCAACCTAAAGGTTGTTGGCTCTTCTCTTGGTGGTGTCTAGCTGCTGTTTTAATTGTTTTGTAGAGCCTGTTATGTATTTCAAGGCTTGCATGACTGATAGACTGCTGCAGGCTCAGCATGCCGTTTTAACTAGAGTCCTACTTTGTGCAAAACTGAAAGTGGCACTGAAAATAAATATTTGTAAAGAAAACACATCAATCCTCTTAAAATTTAAGTCTGGCCCATGTCTTTTGCCCCTGGCTCTTCTAGCCATTTCACAGCAGACCTGCACTTCATTTGTTGGTCAAAGCATCAAGGTTTGTGTGGAATTTTCCATGACTGCCTAAGCACTCTGATACATTTGTGGCAGCTCCCATTGCAAAGCTGCTCTGCTTTTTCTCCTCCTTACAAAGCATTCTAGAAATAGCAGACAGATGAGCCAGTGTGTTCACTAAATGTGTTTAAATAGTTAGTATTTAACATAGATTTAAATCCATGGAAGCATCCATTGCTTTTTCTGACTCTTGTAATATTTACAAAACAAATACATCTTTTAACAGTGGAATATTTATTTCTGTTTAGCTTTCCTGGATATTTTCCACAAACTACATTCCTCTTGTTCTCGGTTCTGGCTATGGCTTCTGCAGTGTTAGTTTATGAACTGCTCTGATGACAAGGCTGCTGTTGCTGATGATCTGGGGTTTGTTGTCATATTGGTTTTGTTGTTGTGGGGTTTTTAATTTTGTGTGTGTGTGTTCCTGTAGCATTGTACCCTTTTGCCTTAGGTTCCTGTTTCTTGACTTCTGTGCCAGGTTTAAATTTACTTTTGTTCAGTCTCTGATGAAAAATATACTATGTCTGCAAGGGTAGGTTGTCATACACTGAAAATAAGAGCAAATGAGAGAAAGTATGTTTCTCAGAGTTTTTTGTTTAAAGGATGCTTCAAAGGCACTGAGAAAAGGTCAGTCTCTCTTATGTTTCTATCTTCAGAGCTCACAAATACCCGAGTTCCATATGTCTCAAAACACTTTTCCTGTCAAAGGAAAAGTACGAGAGAAATGCTGTCAGGTGGGTTTGTGTTGCTTTAATTTGAACAGGACAATTTATTGTTTCAGTTGCAGAACGATTTGGTACCAGATCTTTGTTGCTGGTATCTGGTCTTTGTGTATGAGCTTGAGTAAAATTTTGATTTGATATTAGACCTTCCTGAAAACTGTCATTTGGGTTTTTTTTTCTGATAGTACTTGTGCTTTGGACAAGCCTTTCCATTGTCATAAGCTTAGTAATTTGGCTGATGTTCTCTCTTTTGGGTTGGGGGGTTGTCTTGCAGTTGGCTGATTGCGATTCTGGCTCAACTCAACCCTCTCTTTGGGCCACAGTTAAGCAATGAAACAATCTGGTATCTTAAATCTCACTGGCCTTAAGGATGTCTGTCCTCTGCTGCAATTTATTGACTAGGTGAGTATGATCAGATTTATTAATATATTTGGCATGTTAAAGCTTCAGGAGAAATTGAACAGTTCTTCCTGTAGGCTGCAACAAAACTTATTTTGATGTTAATCTTGACTGGATACTGTGAAAAGCTTGGACTTAATTCTTGTACAGTTATTTTTCTCTGCTATCGTGTCATGGTGCTGTGTTCAGTAAGCAGGGGTTTGTAAGGAGAACAGTAAATTTCTTCTTCCTACAAAAAAAAAAAAAAATTGGGCTGGGGTATCTTTTAATAGCTAGCATAAGTGGATTTCCTAACCTTTAACAATTGTTGAACCTCTCTTCAAGCCTACTACTACCATTTCATCCAAGACCTGTCCTGATTTCCAAGGCAACGTACAGTTGCCCTCATTCATCTGGGAACTCGGAGTAAGAACTGCAGTTAGAATGGTTCTTTATCCTGTCAATGTTGTAGCACTAATGCCGAGCTTATAGATTAATGTTTGGGTTTTTTTTTTTTTAATGATAGCCTGTGTGCAATTTTAATCATAGATGAGCCTGGTGGTTGCTATCTGGGTAGTGCTATTGGAATGCTGTTGTTGCAGTTCTTAGGCATGCTTTCTGACATGACCAGCAAAAATACAAAGTCTTGTACTAAAAGTACCATGATGACTTCAGGTTTCAGCGGCATTTGGAGTTGAAGGTTCAAATGAAGGATAGCTGTGGAAAGAATTCCCTGTGATTTTAGTTTTTCATGCTGGTAACTGAATAATTAGACACACTTCGTTTTTTACCTGTTTTTTCTGTCCTTTTAGGTTTAACTGCCTACCCCCTTGCTGTTATTACTTTAACTTCTGTTTATGGAAGTCCAATAGCAGCAGACAGATGACAGTTGATGTTATAGCTCAGTTAAATGCTGTCTGTAAAGCATCCTGAACATTTACCCTGAAGCAAAGCTCCACTGCTTCAAAGTAGGCTTCATCTGAACCGTGGTGTTGTCAGACTGTGGCATGTGTATGTGTCTGTATCTTCTCTTTTAAGCAGCAAGCAGAAGCTAAAGGTAGACTTGGCCCTGCTTTAAGTAGAGGCCTGTAATTAGCTAAGTCAGTCAAGCTGAATTTCCTGGGAGCATTTTCACTGCTCATGTGTTAACACATAATTAGTTAGCTAAAACAGAGACCAGTGTATTCTGGTAATGGGCATACAGATCCCTGAATCTCAAAGGATAATTCAGTTGCCTAGAATCTGAAACTGAAATGTAGTTATCTGAATAAGTAGCTGCCTTGGATATAAAAATTGGGCTTCCTTCTGACTGATAAATGGTCTGTGTGTTGCAACCAGCACTGAAAAAAAATGGAGATACAACTTTTGGACTCTAGGCACCTGTTAAAAGAATCAGGACTTTCCCCTTCCCTTTCAGTGAAGGATTTTCCAGAGGACTGGAGGTAAATTTGTACCAAGATAGAGAGGGAACTAATGTATTCTGGGATGGCCAGAAAGTTTATGCAAGGAGCTGTCATTTTTAAACTTATTAATGGAGAATGAGACCTGTATAGCACATGCTGTTGTGTTACATGAAGCAGTTTGTTTTAACCTTTGATATATCTGATTTCATTGGCTTAATTTTGGAATAAAATGAAGGTTCTTGTCTTTGTGAAAAAGAATGCTTTAAAAAAGTAGAAGCATATAATCACAAATATCATGGTTAAATATTATGTGCTTTCTTCCTAGAAATGTGCTATTAACAGGACATACTATTCTCCACAATCTTGTTTGAATTACTCTTGTAGTGTTGAATGAGCTGAGCAGCAAGGAGGTGGCTACCTTGATCAAGCTGCAGTGTCCTGTCTTTTGCTGCTGTGTGCCTCTGTGCTCAGAGCCCCCTGTTGAGTTTCTCACTAGATAGGGGCTGTGAATTAGATTCCATCTGAAAGAGTTGGGTTATATCTCTGGCACTGCATGGAATTCCATAAATATAGCTACCGTTTCTTGTTTGACCAGTTATTTTTGGCTTTTAAGATGTGCTTTTCTAGCACTCAAGGTGGATGTACTATACTTTTTTCAGCCTCCCATTTCTCTTTCAGTTGAGTTTTGGATGGATTAGTACAGGCAAGGCAAAGAGTTAAAGCAGAGAACGAAATGCTAACTCCCAGAGTGGAGAGATCTTATTTGAAAATAAGGATAGTCTAAGCAAACCCATTTTACTTGACCAATGGAGCGGGCTGAAAATGCACACAGAAAGCTACTGCATTCTAATGAGGAGCTTCTACAGATGCTGACTTGATTGATCCATGTCAAATTACAGAAGTTTGGTCTTTCTTTTCGGTCAGTGTCTCTCCAAGTAATGATGATGTATCAGATGACTTGTCTGTATAATCAAGTTAATGGCTTGGATGGCAGTATGTAAGAGCATGCAAACTTCTGTAGCTGTGGTAAAGAGGCCATAGCCTCTTTTAAGCAATGTGATCTAACACCACCTTTTCTCCTTAAATTTGTTGATTTACAGTCTTGTGTTCTCAGACCAGGAGCTTTCTTCATGCAAGTGCAAGAAGGGATATCATCCAGATGACTGGATGCTGTTACAGCATTGCAAACTTTCTAGTAAAATAGTTGTTCGATCGACTTAGAATGTAGCTAAAAGGACTTGCAGTAGCTTCAGAAATGAAACTGCTAAGAAAGGGAAGGAAGTAGAGATTATTCTTGAAGCTCCGTATAGATGAATTATCTACAGTTCTTGACCATTTCTCAGTGCATTTGTGAAATGGAAATAGTTGTGGTTAACAGCCAGGTCTTCGATTAGTAAATTGTCTCCATGGGAAGGAATAATTAAGTTGCCTCTTGCTTTGCAGGTAAAGAAGAGATTATCTGCAGATGAAAAACTCCACTGACCCAAAGATGCCCTTAACGTAGTTGGTTGGATACCAAGCCTGCATTAATGCCTTAACCTTTCTATTGTGCTTCAAATGGCTTGTTCAAAGCCCTGTATTTTTTCCTACTATACCGTTTAAGAGTGTGCCTAATGCAATTTATACTCCTCTTCAGTACTGTAAATTTTTGTCTGTTAACTTCAGATCTGATGAAAATTTCTAAAGTTTTTATGGGTCGTAGAGTCAGCTTTCCTGTTCATTTTACTCACTCCGTAGGAACACTATATATCTTACAGGTCTTATGTTGTCTGTTGCTGTGCTGTTCACCCCTGTTCTGTGTTTGACTGCACTTGAAAAAAATGTGTGCAATGAAACTGTATGAGGAGAGGAAAAACAGTGGTGCCACATGCTGATGGCATTTATTTTTTTAAAGTGAGTTGTATTCTTGGGAAATTTGGTCTTAAATTTCTCATGCCTGGAAATAAAACTAATCCTCTGCTTTATACAAAATGCTCTTGTGCCATGTTTAACTGTTACGATGTGCTTTTCTGTGGTTTTAATCAGACAATAGTTGGCCAGAGTTGAGCTGGGGAAACTTAAATGATGTGGGGAAACTGTGATGAAGTCATACGGTGTGATGAGATGAGCACACTTGCTGCCTGTATCAAGACCTCTTGGGTAGTTCTAAAATAGGACTAAGTTTGCAGTCTAAAATTGCTGAAAGGTCTGCAGGAAGAAGTGAATGCCTTGGCTTGAGAGCCTCTTCTCCATGAACTTCCCGTTGTCTGATACTAGGGGGACTCAGCAACAGAGATAACATGACTAGTTTGAACAAAGCATAAATAGTAATTTTGATGGGAGATTGATTTACTCCCTGGCCTTTTGAGGGGATACCTATAATAACAAGCAATTTGAATTGAACAGAAAATACAGCAGTTGTTTTATACTGACTTGACAGTTGCACATGGAATCGCAGACCTGATAAAGCACATGACAATGTAGGCCGGAGATGAAAGATTGCTGAGGCTCCTCGATGTCAGCTGAGTCCATGGAGTTGGGAGTGAATCTAGTAAGTCATTTGTTAAGGAATAGCTTCAAAGGATATAAATACTGCTGCATGCACAGGAGCCTTCATGTATACTTTCTTACCTCCTTACATCATGTCCACATAAATTGCAATTTTTCCTTACTGTGTTTTATTGCTATGCTATGCACAAGGACGTAATGGAGCGGTTAATTTTTTTTCCTTTTGGATAGTACTGTTAACTTCTTCGGTGCAATAGTACTCATTACTATACAGGAAATCCTGAGATCCTGACAAAATGCTGTAACTTGCGGTGATCGAAAACTGGACAGTATGAATTGCAAAAGAAACAAGAATGCGGCCACTATTACAAATAAGCATAGTGACTGTTGAGACTAGAATAGTGAATTTTTTCAAGTTGCCCACTACTGACAGCTGTATTTTAACATGCAAGAAGTTGTACGCCATAATACTGTATAGTCTGTGGGAAATAATTCCTAAGAAAATCGGAAACCAAGTGATCTTGTAAAAGCTTAGATTGTTGTTTGTTCTGGTTTTTTTTACAGTGTGCGTGGAGGATAAGACACGTTGACATAGTATGGGGAGGGGAGGTGAAATGCTTCAAGACATCGCTGACAATTTCGAATACATCACAGTTTTTTAAAACATATTGATCTGCCTGTTATTTTACCCTAAAGTGAGACACCAGAAAAGAAAATGTCCAGTGACAAACAGTGCTATTAGTTATATTGATATTATCACTTTCTTTAACAAGCTTTCTATTTCAGGTTCTGAGCTATCACTCATTGTAGAAGATACAGGAGAAGTAAAACAGAGTTCACATGGCCTGTTTCACTGTTGGTGAATTTAATGTAAAGAGCTATTCAAAGCCTGGACAAACAAGCCATAGTTCAATTTTATTTAGCTGCTTTCTGGATAGAGAAATTTCCATTTATCTGAATGGTTAATATTTTCTCTGAAACAGATAGCAGGTAGTAGCATGATTGAAGAAGTTGAAAAAATAATGTTTTGTTCCTGTTCTGCTGAATGTTGTGTGACCTACTGTCTGCGTCGTGATTATGGAATGGTCTGCTCCATGTGTGCCAGGAATTAACACTGCTTCAGATAATTTCTTTTTTTGCATGACTGCAGGAAATTAGAGCAGACAGATTCAGCCACTGGTGTTTAACAAACAATGCAGGTATCAAAGCCTTTAACAGTTTCCTCTTGCTTCGTGACAACAGAAGAGAATGCAAAATGTCATAATATCTAAGAAGGAAGCTTGCTGGCGCTTGAAATAGGTTGAAAGCCTGGGTCTGCACGGAAATGGTCTGATCTCTGGATGTGCATGGATATTTTGGGGGAAGGTAGAAAGCGAGGAGGGTTAAGGAAACTGAGTCCACAGTCAAGTCCTGAAGATTTTTAAGTCATAAACATTGGCAGAATGTAGAGCAAGTGTTTAGGTCAGGGTCATTTCAAATGTTTTTAACTTTTTTTTTTTTTGTGGTATTGCTTAGGAAATTCAAATATCTGCATCTGTGCCTCTCACAGGAAATTGTTCTGAAGAATTTATGGAAGTTTGCTTTTCCTCTACTGGAAAACATGGAAGCATTTCACTCACGCGAAGGGCTTTAAGTTAGTTGTCAGAGGTGGGTGGCTGGTTCCTTGTTTCCAGAATTACCTGTTACGAAGTCTCTGGGGCAAGAAAAAAAAATAGCGGGTTTTAGGTACAGTGGAAAGAAGGAAGTTTTGTTACCACAGCGGGCTGAAATGTAAAAACTCATCTAAACAATAGAAGAAATAGTCTTTACAAATAGTAAAATAAAAAGGGCAGGGTTGTTGGGTTTGGGGTTTTTCTGTAGTGATTTCTCCAGTCGTGTCTGAAGTGATGGATGCCAGCTGCCTGTCACCGCGAAAGGGGGCTGTCTGTCCAGCTGCAGGCAGTAGCAAAAACGCAGAGCTGCCGGCAGACGATGAGCGGGCGAGCACCGTCAGTACGGCGGCAGGACCGCGGCGCAGCCGGAGCTCCGGGACGGGACGGAGGCGTCACCGCCGTGCGCTGCCCGCGGGCGCCCGCCGCTCTGCCTTAAATACCCTCCTCGCGCCTCTCCGGCGTCACGTGGCGGGGGAGGCCCCCAGCCGGGCCGGCGCCCCATTGGCCGGCGGGGCGGCGGCCGACGATTGGCTGGCGCGGCTTCTTCCCCCCGCCGCCCGCCCTCCCTCCCCACGTGAGGGGGGCGAGTCACGCGATTTCCGGGAACCCGTCAGGAAGGGACATAAACAAAACAAACCCCGAAGCCGCATGGAGGGTCCGGGCCGGAGCGCGCGGGGCGGCGCCCCCTGCTGAGCCCCGGCC